ACAAAAAAATACAAATTTTTTTAAAAAAATCACCCTCTACGACTTGAATTTTTCGCAAAATAAAGTTTACGACGTAAACTACGATTTCCCGTGAATTGCATTGAAAAATGTGGAAAATTAACGACTCACGAGCCTTTTAAGAGAAGGTACTCGCTAAGTAAACTGTCCGGCGGCCGGCGGCGTGGTGGTGGGGGAAGCTCGTCTAAGCTAGCCGCGCGGGCGAGAAAAATGAAATCCAAAGTTCAAATGGACGTCTTGTATTATGTTCCTTTAGACAATTTTACAATAATATCGCGGATAGGACTTTTTTCGAGTTTCTCTTTTATTTTCGCTAATTTTCCTGGTTTCATATATGTCTCTTAACAATCAAAATACTGAATTCTGTAAAGCACTGGTTACATTTTATACGAATTGTGACCTGCACAAACTATTTTCGGTAGATTACATTTTTATTTGCAATATTATACAGGGTGTCCCGAAATTAATGCAACAAAATTTGGTTACAGATTGTTAAGACAAATTTAGTGGCCCCCTCTTTCGGAGTTACAGCCCCCTGAAATCTGCCCCTAAGAATAATCTTTTTTTTATATCTCAGAACCCTGCTGTACGAGAATCACTAAATTTGGTACACACGGGTTTTATGACATGTGCCATCTGATGGTGATACGCTTTTAGGCAGGGAACCCCCTTAAGACAATTTTTCGTGGGTCCCCTTGTCTTTAGAACCAAAAAAGATTGGTCGCAAATTTAAATTTCTTAAAAATTATTAGTCTGCTAGAAAGCCATTAAATTTAGAAACTTTTTTATCTCTTGATACTTTTTGTCAAATTTTGTTCTGTCAATGTCAAATTGTGATCGAATGCATATCGTGATTCACCATTTTCCTCAAAAACATTGCGTTTTATGTAAAAAATATCATGGGAAAAAGTTTCAAATTTTTAAGAAATTCAAATTTGCGACCAAATTTTTTAGGTTCCAGAGACAAGGGGCTCAGGAAAATGTGTCTTAGGGAGGTTCCACGTCAAAAAGCGTAGCACTATCAGATTCTACATGTCATAAAATCTCTATATACCAAATTTAGTGATTCTCGTACAATAGGGTTCTGAAATCTAAAAGACTATTCTTAGGAGCAGATTTCAGAGGCCTATAACTCCGAAAGAGGGGGCCACTTAGCAAATATAAAAAATACGGGTCCCCTAAATTTGTCTTAAGAATCTATGACCAAATTTTGTTGCATTAATTACGGGACATCCTGTATAGGTAAAATCACATATTTACTATATGCGCAGAACAAATTGTTTTGTTTTTATTTTTCTTATTTCTGAAGTTCTATGTCACTTGAAATAAAAAATTATATAGGAAGGGTGTGAAAATCTACTCCTATGGATAATTTCGTTTCATTTATGTCATAAGAAATCAATATAATTTTTTTCAATTTTTTATGCTCTACATCACTGGCAATCAAAGTTTAAAGTGATAATGAAAAATTTATCAAATTGCTATGACGGAACATTCCATTTTTGTCAATAAAACAGCAACAAATTTTGACAATTTTACAATGTTTGACTTTCTACACCCATTGGAAATCAAGATTTAAAAAGTGACTATGAAAAATTTATCAAAAATATATTGCTATGAATGAGAGCATTCCATATTTGTAATAAAAAAATTTGTTTTTTTTTTTACCCAAAGCCTCAAATTAGAATTGTACTTTATGGCTGATTTACATTTTGTTAAGTAGTAAGTGCAGGTAAGAAGTGCAGGTGTTAAGTGATAAGTAAAATCAAAGTGTAAATGCTCACGCTGTTAAGTGATTAGTGCAAGTGCGAAGTGCGAGTGTAAAGTAAAGTGAATAGAAGCACGATCTACTTTCTCTGTTAAGTAGCTAACCCCACACACCCGCGTACTCCCCGCAATCGTAGTGCCGCCAGAACTACACTATTTAACTGTTTGACAAGCCGTTATTTTTGTCAAGTACATAAGTACGGACGATATTCCTATCATGAAATGGACTGAAGAACTATATATATAGCATCACAGATTTTAGGAATCATCAACGATATAGCTGATATTTGTAGTTTAATTTTTGAAGATAATGCACTTCTCATAAATGTATCCGATTTTGCTATAGTTGGTCCAGTCAGTAACTCATTAAATTTATCTTCCGTCATTCGCGTTGAATTACAAAATTCAGTTGGATCCTCATTAATAAGTTCCTGGAAAAGCTTATTACTAACTCCATACTGCAGCCTTCTGCTTATCCATTTTCTTTGCTATAATCTCTTAGGTTTTTCGATTTTAACTAACAATAATTCATGTTCGATTTCTGATGCGATGACTGCGACTGTCTTTTTTAAAATGTTTTGCAATAATTCTAATCGTTGTTCATCCTACATTCTGTACCGACACTTTGGACTTGTAAGAAGCACTTACCACTGTGTGAACATTTTGTTTACACTTAACACTTAACACCATAAAAACATGTTAACTAATCACTTCTCACCTGCACTTGTTAGCCATAAAAGAGTTAAAAATGTGTCGACATATGACGAACTATGCACCGCCAGCTGTTTTATAGCTTCAGATGGCACTATGTCTCATTATATGCCGCTACTCAAACATAAGTGTCTAAGATAATTTTTGAAAATATATAAAAAGATATATTATATATCTTTTTTATAATAATAAAAGATATGAACGACTTTAGAATCGATGTAGAAATAGAAAAACGGCTAGCATTATGGAAGATGATAATAGATGATTCAGTGATATATACTTTTAAACTTTTTCTTTCATTTTCTGATAGTATTTAACCACCTAAATATATCTTAAAAAATTTAGGTCAATAGGATTAATAATAAGTGATATATTTAATTCTGAATTTGTAAGACCCTTAAAAAGGTCAACACTGTGGGAGAACAGGTAATGATGTCACGATACCGGCCACTCGGCGATCAAGTCGCGAGCAGTCGGAGAGATGTGTAGATATTTGCTATAGTTTTACCTATATTTTTAAGTGTATAAATAGAGAGTGTATAATAGCTGTTTTACATTGACAATTTATTCATCAATTTATTCATCAAGTTCTTGACGAATTAGAGCATGTTCTAATTTTCATCAATTTCTTCGTGAAGTTCGGAAGTACCAACCCAACAAATTTCCAGCCTCAGATCAGTAATGAGGTTATGTTATTGGAATATGTAAATAATTGTGCGGCATCGTACTAGTTTTGCATTGTTTTTACTGATTTGTTACTTACAAAACCTAATATTTATATAATATGTGTCAGAACGGTACCACTGTTGTATCACTACAATTATGAGGGGAAAGGTAACATTTTTCAAATTTATTTGCTTCTTTGATTCATTGGTAGAACCGATTCATGCGTCAAAAAACTTGACAAAGTCCGTAGCAGTGTAAAACCACACAGTTTATCAATAAATTCGTGAATTAATTGATGAAGAACTTCGTCAATTTATTGATGAATAAATTGTCAATGTAAAACAGCTTTAAGAGATATACATCAAGTCTTGTTGAAATGCATTTTTTACACAACATATTTATTATAAACATAGAATGACTTGGAATACCTAAATACATTTTCGGATTTTTCTCATTGACGTAAATGGTTAGCTTTTCTACATTTTTATTGCGTTCTATTTTTGTACAAATGTAGCTAACGTACTAGACTCGGTACTTGTGGATGTATACGATGACGTGTATGTGCCAGTAGTACTTTGACTAGTATTTGAAGCAACTCAGAACCACCCTCGTTTTTCTTTGGTTGCCCGTCTAGGGGGTTGTAAAATATTATTATTTAAATAAATTGCTTATAGGTCCCTCTCGCCACGTATTTCGAAATTTTTGTGGACGGGAACGTTTAGATGGGGTAGAAATTTTTTTTTCGGCATAAATTTGAAAATCTAAATGTTCAAATAATAATATTTACAACACCCTAGACGGACAATCAAAGAAAAAGGAGAGTGGTTCTTAACTGCTTATAGCTGCTGCTCTCACCGACGTATTTCGAATTTTTTGTGAACACGAACATTTAGATGGGGTAGAATAATTTTTTTCCGGCATAATGTTGAAAATTGTGCTCTAAATGTTCAAATAATAATATTTTACAACCCCCTAGATGTGCAATCAAAGAAAAACTAAGGTGGTTTTGAGTTGCATACCGTGGCTGGAGAAACCATGGATAACATAACACAAACCTTTCATTTTTCGGTAATGAAATAAATATTTTATTCGGAGTCGATCCGGAGTCGAGCGCGAGCGCAAGTGGAGTGCTCCGCCAGTCGTCCGTACCGGTATTATGAGGTCAGGCAATGGTTGCTCAACGTTTTTTCGCGCTCTGTTTTCATTAATTAATTTCATACATTTCTTGTTGAAACAAAAAATTAATTTTTGGCATACTAACTAATTAAAGGGTAAACTTTTGAAATATGCAAAAAAATTCTACTGAATGGGCCTATTGTTGAATATAGTGGTATGAGAAAATAATATTGAAAATAAATTACCAAAGTTTCTTAGCGGCGAACAAAATGAAATATAAATATAGCAATGACAATATTACTTTCTTCTCTTCAATATTCACTGCAACTTCGACAAAAAATGACACATTACTGCTGCTGAGTAAAGAACTGCCAGCAAGAAATGTTACCATTGCAATTTTGCCGAAATGCTAAAAACCACTGCGTGTGTCATTGCTCTTATTTTATAAATTTATTCAATGCCAATCACAAAAAATCAACCTCTTAAGGTTCTTTTTCTTGTCAGTGTGGTAAAATTATCAAAAACATTTTAAGGAAATTAAAATCGTTTGTGAAATATTCTTTGCAGTTTAACCATTGTAGGTGCTTGACCTTTACAATTTTCATTAGATTTACAATTTTCATTAGATTTTCAATAATTTCTATTTTAGAGAAAACTGAGCACAACTAAGTATAGCAGAAAATGTATAAATTTAAAATTTCTTTCTTCTCAAGTATACTTACAGTGTATCTCCTTACAGCTTCTTTAGCTTCAGCATATGTGTGAGGAACATCCTTTATTCCAGTGACACTAGAGATATTGCCACAAAGAGATGTGAATTTGTTAACAAGCTGTCTTTTCGATACTATGGAAATACCTTGTTCTGGCTTTCCAGTTACCGTATTAACAATTTCTGGTTTCTGTATGCCCTTCATCCAAATTACAGCAAAATTTGGAGCCTTTTGAGGCTGTCGACCTTCTAGCTGGCTTTTACGTAACATTACTGGCCTGTTTAATAAGTATGGAGGGGGAAGTCCTTGAAGACTATTTTCTACGCGACCACATATAGCCCTAAAGAAATTAATACGTTGAACTGTTGTGAACCAAATCACCGATATAAATACTACTAGAACTGTGAATTAATTTTGAGAGATTTACAATAGATGGCCTAACTTATGCTATATCACATCTGACACTTTTGTAACTATATTCATGTCAAAGCTCTGTCATTAAGATTTACTTTTTATAATGTGACATTTTGCTGAAGTGTAAACAACATATTTTTTCTCAGCTCCGAAGATGTCGAATAACGAGCCAACAAAACACCATTTGCGGGAAGTTTTACTTATCTAATTTAATTCAAAGAAAATTGCTGCTGAAAGTCATTAAGTGCTTATGGAAACTTACAATGAACATACTCCATCGATAGAAATGTGTAACTATTAGTTCTGACATTTTAGAAGTGGTGATTTTGATACAGTTGACAAAGAATGCCTCGACCAAAAAAGTTTGAACTCGGTATGAATCCATAGCAAGGATATTGGGTGCCGAAAGAAGGGTTTTTTTGCATCGTACTGTTACTGGCGATGAAAAATGAATATGTTATGATAATCCTAAGTGTAGAAAATACTGGGAATTGCGTAGTCATGCATCAACATCGACGGCAAAGCCGAATATTCATGGTTTGAAGCTCATGCTCTGTATTTGTTGGGCCGAGCTTGATGTTGTGTACTATGAGCTGGTTCAACCGAATGAAACCATCAATGGTGAACATTACCGAATACACTTGAAGCGTTTGAGCCATGCATCGAAGCAAATACAGTGGCAATTCGAGCTAAGGTACAATAAAGTAATTTTTCATCATGAAGTCAAAGAATACTTAGACACTGAAATTGGATGTTTTACCCCACCACCACCCATATTCACCAGATATTGCTAAGAAGGTGGATAGCATCAAAAGATGAGTGCCAGAGAGATGGGTAATAATAGTGACTGGCAATGGACAATACTTTAAAATATAGTAATGTACACAATTTTTCACAATAACAGTCCTAGTATATTAGACGAACGGTCCACCCCTAAAAAGATGCTTAGAAAATCAAGGTCACCGACCACGAGGAGAGGCCAGGATGAAACCTGTTGTAATTGATGCATTGAGTTATTGCGAACAAAAAACCTAAGTAACATCTTTGTGTCCGAGTGGCAGGTAATTTGTTATTAACAAAAAAGTTGCTAAATAAAAATATTGCAAAAAAACGCTCTGCAAACAATTTTCTAGGGTAAATTGAGCAAAAATAAACACTTTTTGTCTCTTGACATTTTTTCGTAGAACGCTTCCTTTTCGAGCTAGGGGCGATTTAAGGTCGAAAAATGGCTAAAAGTTGCCAACTTTAAAAATTCATATCTCAGCTCCTACCAAAGCTTTCGGAACGTTCAAAAGCGCAAAATGATCCTCGAGACTTATACTTTAATGTAGTATTTTTTTTAACCCAGCCCCTTTTTTTTAACCCGTTAAATTTGCAGTTGAATTTCGGCCGCTAGTGCCCACGCGCCACCCCTACGTATCGCTATATATAGATATAGTGCTGTCGTGCATATAATCGAATAAACGCTATTAATTCATTACTTGTTACAATTTGTACTATTTATTATTTCTAACACTCATACATATTTTCAAATTTATCAAATATTGTATATCATATAATTGTTTGCAGAGCGTTTTTTTGCAATATTTTTATTTTGCAACTTTTTTGTTAATAATAAATTACCTGCCACTCGGACACAAAGATGTTACTTAGGCTTTTTGTTCGCAATAACTCAATGCATCGATTACAAAAGGTTTCATCCTGGCCTCTCCTCGTGATCGGTGACCTTGATTTTCTAAGCATCTTTTTAGGGGTGGACCGTTCGTCTATATAATTAGTTCTTTCGTCTAAAGAGCTAAGTGTTTTTTGAAGGAAACGACCGAGATGTTCTTTGCAAAAACTCCATTTGTCGCTAAATATAAAAACGATGCTGATACTTAGAAAATAGCTTTAACCACATATTAAAATACTAATTAATCACCTGTATAAATGGTTTTCCTTCATCAAGCTCCCCAAGACAATAGACTTTAAGTAAACTGGCTCGATAAAGTGTGATAATAAAGCACCCTGTACTCCCAAAACATTCCAACGACATATTTTGTCAGAGCAAGACATAGTTAATAGTCTTTCACCCTGAAAAGAGAAACTACAAATTAAATACATACTCTCTACATTATTTTAACACAACTAAAGTCTGCTAATTACATCTTATTGACCATCCGCACAAGGTTTTTTTAATATTATATACAAATGAAACTAGCACAGATTCTTGGCATCAAAATATGACAATTTAATTAAACTTATCTCAATTGAAAGTTACTTCGTTACTTGGTCGAGTCGCTGAGAAACAGAAGAACAGAAACATTTATGTATGTAAATAGGAAATATACCCTAAGCAAATTTGCTCTCTTTTTATGGGTTACATAATCGATACGCTTTTCGGTACATATCTGATTTAATTGTGTTCATAAATTTGATTCACATGATAATAAAAACAAAGTATAGAGTTCATAAATGTGTAATTATACTCCGCGGTCGAAATTATAGAGAGTGACTAATCGCTAGCTTTTGGACTAGTAAGGGGGATGAAGCGTGCCGGGAACGAAAATCCATAGGCGTGTCTGCGTAAAAGGCAACAAGATGTAGAAAATATTAAAAAAAGATAATAAAACAACATCTAATATTTTTTACGGTTTGCTATAACCGGCACTTTGATCCATTTTAATTATTACAGCATTTTAAAACGTCCCAGTTGTGTTTTTTTAATTTATAAATTTATTATAGCCATGGAATTAGACCCCTCGTCTACGCTTATGCTATGACGTTTCTCAGGACAGATAAATCAAGTCCGTTTACACCCACTAAAAAAGCATTTCCCTATTCCCTAACAAGTGCAAAAGACAGAGATAGAATATAGATCGACGTTCAGTGTAACTCAGTCTATAGATGATTATACATTCTATCGATGTGCGTAGCGAGCGGCACAAAGATAAATAATATTGACCCGTATAAAAATCATTTTATATTTTATACGCATTATGGTAATAGTGTTTTTATATTATGTCCGAGTCACTCTCTATAATTTCGACCGCGGAGTATAGATTGTTCTTTCATAAGAAAGAATATCATTTTTAATTAAAAATATATATGCACTCATTTCAGATTTCATATATTTTATAAACTGTAACTATCAAATTTGAATCTGTGATATTTGAGTAAAATTAAATTATTTGAATTCAATCAGTACTACTTTATAATTTGAAGAATATGGATGATCCACTAGCCCTCAAAATATTATTATTATTATTTTTGGTTTATTTCAACTTATTCCTGCTTATTCCCATTTATTGCTATTTAGTCCAATGTATTCTGAACAAAACGTACACTGGGTCATTCCTCAATTATGTGTTATTGAAAATTTCCCATTTCCTGTAGCAAAAGAATATTTTATTTCAAGTTTCCGAGCTTCACAAACAATTATTTCATTTCTATGATAAAATAATTAAAATGTTTCATCATAAATCGTAATTTTTATTGAAAGTATATTGATTACTAATAAAATAAAAAAATATGTGAAAACAATTAAAATATATGTATCTTAAAATATAAAATATGTAAACAAGTGGAAAAAGCTAAAAGTATTTGTCAACTCTGATGCCCTCTAGCTGCTAAATAAAGTGACTTTAGATACTAATAAGTTTAGTTAAATCTTATTTGGAATCCAAGAATATGTGGTATGTATCTGGTAAGTGTGTATCAAATACAGGAAAAAAAAATGTTTGCCTCGTATTATGAATATACCAGTAATGTAATAGTAATAATGTTCCTAAAAATTAGCTTTTCCATACCTGGATAATGCCATCCCACGTTTGTATCAAAGATGTGGCTTTAACAGGTATGGTACCCTCACCCGATTCAATTTTTGTCCTTAATTGACCCCTCGAACTTCTATTAGGATGCTTATCAATTGGGGAATTTTCTTCGTGGGGACTAAAAATTCTAGCATCTCCACATGGAGCAGTATTAATATATAAGTGAAAATCAATACCGTTTTTTAATTTATATCCATACCCATCATCTCTTTGTGTGAAAATTGAATGTTCAGCTACACCTAAATATTGACACAGAAAATGTTAAAGCATTGTCCACACATACTTTTCCAAAAGAAAACTATTTTAGTATGTGTACAATGTGTCCTAAAATACACACAATATTAATATAGAAAAATACAATATTTATATAAAAAAATTCAGAGAATTTTACTCTACCTAACATTCACTCAGCATATTACTTACAGTGTTTCTCAAGGTTTTAGTATCATATATATACAATATGCTTTATATGCCATGGTGCCATGGTGTTTGACGTCATATACTATATCATTTAAAACAAATTATGAAGGACATACTCTGACATTTTTAAGTTAATGAAGTTCAAATGACGAAAACAATTTCTTAAGTGAATAATTTTAAAAATTTTTAAGTAATGATATTATGGGAAACACCTCAACGGACTATATTACTAGGGTGTAATTCAATGCCGGGAGGAGAATACAGACCGTAGACTAGTTGTTTCCCACAATATCATTACTTCATTACTTAAAAAGTTTATTTCGCCTAGTGCTATAATACTGATCTTGATTTCACAGCACCTACAGATTAGTACTTTGTGCCAGTAAGTAATAATAGGCATTAAGTAGCAATGACATAATGTATAAGATGTAACAGATAACTTGACAATCAAATCAATCAAACAGTCTGGAAATACTAAATTTTACATTCAAACAAGATAGCCTTTAAGTTTGACTAGAAATTCAAAAATGCTTCTACACACTCTCCCATTCCATAGAAAATAGAACAGTATAGTAACTACTACAAACACCTAATGACCTTTGTCAGTACTTTTTAAAAACTGGGCAACAAAATATGTGCAAAATTCAACTTTCATGAGTTTTTTGAAATGTAATTAGATAATCGAGGAGAATCATATTTCACTTATAATCCTGAATTTTTAGTAATTTATTTGAGAATAAATACAATTCTGAAATAAACCGAAACATAGAAGATATCAAAGAAAAGTTTTGGTGATACATATTATTAAGACTTAAAAATGTATTTTACCCTCTTACTTGTTTAAAAGTAAAAAAAAAAAATATAACACATATTGCACATTTGTATATAAAAAAATTAATTTAATTTAAAATTAATTACATAGAATCCACTAAAAGTAAGAATAAAGATGTATCAAAACAAAGTAACAACAAAGTTGTTTTGAATCCAGGATAGTGTTTATACAAATATGCCACATTAACTTTGATCAAAATATGACATTATATAAAAAAAAAATGACACCATTTTAAAAATCTTGAAAATGTCGATTATTAAAGCATCACAGAATAGGAAATAACAATAACATAGGAAATAAAATTATTATTTAAAATGTATTTAATTATCAAAAAATGCCTATTAATATTTTATCAGGCACTCCTGTGATAAACAACATATACACCACTTTCAAGATAAATATGTTATCGTGGGGATATACAGGGTGTTTGGAAAAGTTGGTACAAAATTTAAGGAGGTGAAAGTAGAGCCAAAAATAGTAAAAACAAGCTCCTATAAACATTGGTCGTCCGGAGCACCGTTACTGAGATATGGCTCTCCAACATTTGGATATTTTTTAAAATAACTTTCTTTCTGATAAACATAATGGAATGAAAATTGTAGGTAATAATCATACCATAAGAACCTTTAACTATCATAAGTTTAATCAAAATCGGTTATTAATAAGGATAGCTTTCTAACTACCCTTAACAGAAATTTTATGATTTTTTTTATTCCTTTGAATTATCTAGCAAATAATATTATTTTTTAATGAATTAGACTTTTTTGAAGAAAAAATGTCCCTACTTCTTTTTTCGAATTCTGCGTAGTTTATTCAGAAATAATTATTTTTTAAATAATGTATGGCTTAGAATTAACTTTTTTTAACATTTTCACATAGTAGGCACCTTTCATAGTGACAGTTCCGTTGTAATTTTACTAATGATTGTCACTTTCGCGTGCTATCATTTAAATTCTTACGTTTCTTAGTTGTGATCTTTGTGCTTGACGTGCTGAACGTAATCCTACTGAGAGTGTAAGAAGAGTGTCTGCCCACGACGGTTCAAGGTTGTAAAAAAATCAAATGAAATGCAAAGTCAAGCACAAAGATCACAATTAAGAAGATAATGAAACATAAGAATTTAAATGATAACATGCGAAAATGACAATCATTAGTATCATTACAATGAAACTGTCACCATGAAAGATGCCTACTATGTGAAAATGTTAAAAAAAAAGTTACTGTTCTGAGCCATATATTATTTACAATAATTATTTCTGACTAAACTACGCAGAATTCGAAAAAAAGTAGGGACATTTTTTCTTCAAAAAAGTTTAATTCATTAAAAAATAATATTATTTGCTTTATAATTCAATGGAATAAAAAAAATTCGATAAATTTCTGTTAATGGTAGTTAGAAACTATTTATAACCGATTTTGATGAAACTCATGATAGTTAAAGACCCTTATGGTATGACTATTACCTACAATTTTCATTCCGTTATCTTAATCAGAAAGAAAGTCATTTTACAAAATATCCAAATGATGAGACCCCTTTGGAGGGCCATTTATCTCAGTAACGGTGCTCCGGAGGACCAATGTTTATAGGAACTCTTTTTACTATTTTTGGCTCTATTTTTACCTTAAATTTTGTACCATCTTTTCCCTGTATATGCAGGGTGTTTTCAAAAGAAGTAGCACAAATGGCACCTACAGCTAAAAATAACACGTTTTACACAAAAATGACCTTAGTAAAATATTCACCTCTTAGGAGATACAGCCTCTAAAAATTTCCAAAAAAAATACGGAACAGTGGCTGTAATTTAAAAACCAAAAAAGTTATAATAATCAAATTCTACACAAATTTTCTACTAATGCATTTGCCACTTCTCAACGATTTGTCGAAAATTTCTGTTCCTTGGAGGCAGTTGAAATAAGTATTCCCCCCAAGTTATTTTTTGCTACAACTTTTTTATTTGATAAAAATTGAATATTCACAAATAAGCATCAGATAGTTGCTTGCTTTAAAACTGTTTATTGACAAAAATTTTACTTCATTATCATCGCATTATAATTCGCATGATTGCAACTATGAAATATTTAAGTAGACGGTCGTCACGCTAGTATCTGTCATTAGATTTGGATGCTTCTGGTGGTACATTCTTCTTGCGTTGCGGCACAGTTTCTCTGACATTAAAAAAATACTTACAGCATGTCAGCATATTCATCATTAATAAAATTATTTGTCATAATTCTTCCTAGTTATCGTAAAAGAAATAAAATTATTGAGAGATAAATCCAAGGAGGTACTCGTAAAAGTCACAAAAGATCTATTTATTAGCATGACAGCCGCCTACTTAAATATTTCTTAATTGCAATCGTGCTAGTTGTAATGTGAATAATACTGAATTATATTTTTTTGTTAATAAACAGTTTTAAAGCAAAAATGTATACCAGGTAAAAGTTTTAAAATAAACCAGGGCATCTGATACGATTTTTTAATATTCAGTTTTTGTCAAACAAAAAAGTTATAGCAAAAAATAACTTAGGGGATGCTTATTTCAACCCAATCCAAGAGACAGAAATTTTCAAAAAATTTTTGAGAAGTTGCACATGCTTTATAGAAAATTTGTGTAAAATTTAACTTTTTTGGTTTTCAAATTACAGCCGCTATTCCAGTTTTTCGGAAAATTTGAGAGGCTATATCTCCTAAGGGGGTCAACATTTTATGCAAAACGTGCTCTTTTTAGCGTTTGAGCTACTTCTTTTGAAAACACCCTGGAAATACAGGCTGTTACAAATTCGCTTCTCAGTACAGGGATCTCGGAAATGGTAAGAGATACGAAGTAAATGGGGGCAAAGTTGCATGATCAGGGGACCAACATAATGCCTCTAAAAAATCAAAGCTAATATAATTAGTTTTCGAAATATTTCAAAAAATTTAAATTTTGGAAATCCGTTTTTGTTTTATTTCAGCCTTGTTTGAGGTGATATTGAAAAAAGAACACTTTCTCACGGCAACTTTTTGCCAGGACCATCATCAACTTCATTTTTTTAAATACGACCCTGGAAATTTTATTACATTTTTTGCAAGCCTTTATGACCCCCGATACTGTACTGCCTCAACCCGAACCTTTTAGACGTTTTGTCTCGAAAAATTCATCTTCAACGTATTCGTTCGAAATTTATCTATTTTTTTTTAGATTTCTATTTTTATTGAATGACACTCTAAGTGTCATTAGATCCTGTGAAATCCACCTAGTTATTTAAACTATTGCCATCACACGTTACAATAAAACATTCTTAGTTTTATTCCCTTGCTCATAGTTATTTCTAGAGTTCTCAGGTGCTCAAAATTCAAACAAATTTCGGTCTAATTTTTTTCAGGATATTCATACAAATACATCTGACATACTCTTTCACACTTGTGGTTAAGGGTATAAAAAATTCCAATCATATTTAGCTTATCTCCATTTTCAACAAATGCCAAAACGAAAACTATAATTTTTTAAAATATAATAATCATTTGGAGTTTTGGTTGTACATATGCATTTTTAAGAATTAATTTGTCATAATGAAATTAAAATTGTAATTTATTAATTTTGACGCAACAACTTATCAAATTATGTATGACGGTAGCGGAGACTAACTAATAATGTTTTATTTTAACGTGTGTAATAGTTTAAATAATTAGGTGGATTTCACAGGGTCTAATGGCACTTAGACTGTACGATAATTCAATAAACATAGAAATCTAAATAAAAAATTTGAGATATTTGGAATAATACACTGAAGATGAATTTTTCGATACAAAACGTCTGAATCTGGTTCGGGCTGAGGCAGTACAGTATTGGGGGTCATGAAGGCTTGCAACAAATGTAATAAAATTTCCAGTCGTATTTAAAAAAAAATAAGTTGATGATGGTCATGAAGAGACTAAACGTTACATATAAAAATTGATTATGCCATTCAATAGAGGGCAAAAAGTTGCCATGAGAAAGTATTCTT